CCTCACAAATTGAGGTTAGTAGCTAAATTTTGTGTATTATTTAACAAAGAACCGGTATTGTAGACAAATCGTAGTTTTGGAAACTTCGGTTTTGCGCGTATCTCAATCGGGTGACTTGGACGCTTCAATAGATCTAACAATCGGTTATGTTTGACCGAAGTGAATATACTACTGATTAATCAGCTGATCCATGGTTTACATAAACCTGCAATCAAATCAAATTATTATTTTGTCCTGTAAGCTAAACAATTTTAAAATTATATTGATTGTAATTGGACTTTTCAAATTTATATACTATGTTTATTTGACAGAATATAGTAAATAATAATGATGCTTTATTGATGAAAGTCCATCTATGTTTAACTGATCTTTCTGCAAATTACGTTACAACACTCAACATTCAAAAACGTACATCACAACTTTGAGACACCGATAAACAAACGACCACACTGAGTCGTTAGATATTGTTCAGTATCAAAGACTTGACTACAAGATATTGGATACGTTAATACTTGTGGCCTGTGTGCCCTGCTAATGCATAACGTAAGGATACCAACAATTAGAGAGCAGTGAATTATCGATCGGTCTAATGATGCAAAAGACCCGTGCGAACAGTCTAGAGTATTTATCCATTCCGCCTGTTAAGTCAAGAACACAAATCTCAGCCTCTGCGATATGAATCACTTATTTCAAAGATAGTCGGTTTATAAATCAACCAAACAGACTACATCGTACCATAAAATAGGAAACAACATTTGTACAAGATTTAGCCAAATGTGGTTGTGAATAAGGGAGATAGTGATAGGTGGAGTCCAATCCGTGTCGCGTATGAGGCAGTTACCTAGTTGAAACAATGAATGAAGCATTACGCAGGATCATAGATCGATCAAACTTAGACATTGACATAGTTGGATACCGGCTCAATGGTCTAGAGATTAAGTGTTTACGTACGAGATCGAAGGTCCAGAGTTTGAGTACCGCTTACGGCATCATGAGTGGTCACTGCTGAGGAGTCCCATACTAGAACGAAACGGTCATTCAGGGATTCCAGGTTTTTAATAGTGGTCTAGCTTAGATTGACTTGTGTATTCAACTTTGAAAATGAGTAAAAGATACAAGCTTGATAAAAAATCAGTTTCAGTGTGATGTTTTTGAGAATTCTGGTTGAGCATTATGAGTCAGTCAGTCAGTCAGTCAGCTACAACGTAGGACCAGGCACATATGTGCATCGGTTCAAGTCGCCTCTTAGTTGAATGGTTTAATAGTGAAGTCTTCGTTGTTCTTTTGAATGACATCATCAACTCGTCCTATCAACTTTGATCTATGTTCACTATTGTTAACCTGCCTGGCATTTGACCATATTATTTCTTTATAAGGCTTATCGGAAAATTTGTGCGATTTTATGTAAGAATATCTCATGTTCAGCAGATTTAATCCATGTGTTTATTATTTAACGTTTGTAACTACCTGATTTATGCGTTTCTAATATGTTGATTATAGTTATGACATCATAGTTTGCTTTAGAATGCTATCCAATGTATTGCTCTTCAGAATAATAAATGATCATTCAAGATCTGAATCAATGAAGTATCAAAAAGTTCTTCAGAAAATCACCAACACTCCAATGAAACACATGGATTACTGTGTTCTGTATTGTCAACAGCTATTATGAAGACTTCGTTAGGACTATTAATTCCTTTTAGTCAGTACGTTTTATATGATTTTGGTATAAACAAGTGACAAAGCAAAGAATATTAGATTAGCCATTTTATCCAGTAAATACTAAACAGTACGAAAACACTTGTGATATTATAACATTTCATGTTTAATGTCATTTCGTTATTCAAATAGATAAACAATAGTAGCCGTGTTTACACCAGGTAAGTCAATATTGAATACATTCAGTATAATCAACATTAAGTAATTGGATTCATTTATAAAGCACAATAAATCGATATTTACTCCACCTATAACCAAATATACGAACAAGGGTGTTCCGAATGTTTTTAAATTAAAATGATACCTGTGCAAAAGCATTTGAACTGAATAAGTTGATTCATTAGTCCTCATAAAAGCTCGTGAGTAGTTAATACTAAGTTAGAACTGGCAGGACAGATAATAAAACGAAAACAGAGATACCTCATTGCTTGACTCAACAAAATGAAACCTGAATACAGCTTAGGTCATTTTTATAAGATAAAACCAACCAATCATAGGATGAATTAAAATATCAAAAGAAACACAAGATATCAGTCCTGGGGTAAATATCAACTCTGGGATGCAGGTACATCCAGTCGACGAGTTTCAAGTAGGACGAAACGCCCATCAAACTGGATTCCATTGCTAGCCACCATTAATCCAAACTTATGATGCTTGTGACTTAAGGCAATATCGAGGCGATCCGTACAAGATGTACATATACCAGTAAGAGACTGATCAATTTCAGTCCTAAACATCAATTGGAAGATTCAAACAAATAACACAAAATGAATGTTCAAATTGACGGTAATCCTATGTACTAAATAAAAATGTGATAAGAAGCAGTAAACACAATATTAAATCAATTAGCATAATGTTAATTACTGATTATGACAAAAGACTCATTGACAATCTAATTGTTGATTATGAATGCTATACCGTTAAATTGAACCAGAATGAAATCAGTAATATACGAACATCTATTAAATTCCTTCATAATTAGTTAAAACAGAATATAGAGAGTAATTTTCAACTCAGTGTGTGTGAATCCATATTGTCATTTCTCAAATGCAGCCAATCGTACTACCAATGTACTACTCTACTTATCAAGACATGATATACAGGATACTTTTCTGCAATTGATTAAATGAGTTTCGAGTTTAATGCTCATTCATATGTATTTTCAAACTTTCTTTACATCATTCAATCACAGATCAACAAATAATGCCCATAAAAATTTTGTTTAATAGTTGAATTCATGAGCCAATTGAAGCTAGATCACCATGGAAAACCTGGAAGCACTGGACGGCCGTTTCGTCTTATTGTGAGACTCATCAGCAGTGCGCATATAAGATCACGCCTCACAAGATTCGAACCCATGGCCTATCGGTCTCGCGCGCGAACGCTTAACCTCTGAGTCGGCATCGAACAGTGTTAATGTCTAACTTCAATCAATCTACGGAACTGCGCGACCGCCCACCATTGTCTTCAGTGAGTTACCATTTCACAATAGACAAAGTTGAAATACACTGGCTTTTCACTAGAACTTCAAGAAATACATCTTGAAGCCGGTCACTACTGGCGAGCACATGATATTTATTATTAGATTGGGTGTTTTTGTGGAGCAGGATGGTGTCGTCATGGAGCTTTTATCGTTTTTCTGAACGATATCATCAAAATAAACTCAGCTCAGAGAACAAAATTCTATCAAAATCATATGTCCTTACGGATCTAATATTTAAAAAATTTCTTTTCAGATATGTATACATAATTGTACAGTTTGATTATCAATTTGTTAAAGAGAGATCTCCTTGTTGACCTTTGTGTTTTAAATGTTTAAATAGGTATTATATGTCGATTGAAGAAATGCAATGATCCTATGATGATGAAGGAACTCAATGAGATTTTTTTCAATGTAACACAGTCAAACTTACCTTAGTGAAATGTGAGATCAACTTTTCTTCGAAAGTTGTATCAAAAGCAATGAGTATTCTCAACGTTCCTGAAATGCACTAAGGCGAAGTCATATTTATCTCAATGCTAAAACCATCAAACTTTATGCACTTAATTGTATGGATGCTATTGAATCTCGAGAGAAAGCAACATGTCTAGTATTCCTTGGTAACCAGTTTTCTTTAAACAAGATACTGTTAATTCAAGAGGATGTTACCAAGTTTACAAACCATAATGAGAAGATAAAACAGCACAAATCGAAAATATATATCTCAGGTAACTAATGTTATTAAAAATATGAAGAACAAAGGGATAATAAACCCAGACTTATGGCATAACATACGTCTAGTGGGTTCGATCCTTCCGCGTTTATTTGAATTATAGAAAGTATATAAACATCGGTTACCGTGAAGAACTATTTTGGAAAATTCTAGTTAGCCTTACCACTGAATCACCAAAATAGCTGGCTGAAAAATTGGAATATGTTAGAAGACAAGTATCTAAATATTCTGTTCATGATAATTTTCAATTTCTTGATAGTATTAAGGATAATAGCACTTCCGGAAAGAACATAGACTGAAAACTACTATCAAATCGTTTCATAGAGAATAACATGAAAAGAAGTCGGAACAAGGAATCTGGTAATTACCTTTCGAAAAATGAATCTGGAATTCAAAGGTGATCGAATTTCTGATCTATCTAAAGTCGGTTAACAATAAAGTTTCCTTACATGAGGAAAGTCAGTCAATTCATTTGGTTTCGCACAAATTAAACAATCAACTAAGTAAACAATAATGACAATCCTGTGTATATTTTGCATTTAGGTAAAAGACTACTAATGAGTAGCTAAAATATTCTCACTAACGTCTGTGGGACTCAATTATCCAATCTAATGAAATGGTAGGAAGTGAGATTTTGAGAATCAACACACACTCAGCAAATTCATTATCTTAACCTAAACAATTGTACTTGATTAAATGTCAAATATAAATGTTCACCTAAAAAGAATGTTACATAATTATCGAAACATTATGTAAGAGACATAGCTTTCAATTCAAGAGGTCATCACTAAAATCATAGTTATTCAACGTATTTTGTAAGCGTTTAGCTTCTTGACGGAGTTTTCTTCTCGAACGCTTCACTTCCATATGAACTTTGTACTGATGATGTCGTCCAGAAGAACGATCAAAGCTCCAACATCAAACCATTCAGCTCAGAGAACAAAACTCCATCAAAATCATCCACCTGAGCTACAAATCTTCTCTTCGTCTTTAGCTTCAAAATCACTCACTTCGAAAATTCTCAAACTATTCGCTGTTAAATAGTTAAAACAAAACTAGACGAAATAATGATCGATTACTTAAAGAATTTATTTGCAGATTCAAGTATAAATGAAGGTTCATTCAGTAGGTATCAATTACAAAGGTTTGATTTGCTAAATTCCAATTACAGATATATTATTTTATTAACAGGTTGATTCAGTTCAAAAGTAACAAGGGAGTGTAAAAAAGAACATGTAGCGAATTCAATATGGAGAGGAAGCAAAAGATTTGGGTATGTCACACAGTCAAACATAGTAGAAAGCAACTGCGTTAATATTGTCAATATTCACAATTCATAGATTCCAACGTAATTTCCGACCATTACATCCATCATTCCACCATCGTGCCACACGCGGAACCCAATGGGGACCAAATGAATGAGATGTATGAGCTAGTAGACACATTGCACATTGAGGTTGGGCATCGTAATCATGTATGATTCCATGACCATGCCATGCAAAATATTCATTATATGCAGTATCGTTCTTGTCCAAATACTTCAAATAGTCTGCCAGTTTAGCTGGTGATTCGAATTGATCAACGTGAATGAACGAGTATGGAGGAGCGACTCTTTCATATTCCTCTATCGATGCACCCATCACGATTGGAAGTATATCATTTCTTGAAATGAATAAAAAGTATGATAATCCGTCAAACATTGATCTAAACATCAATTTACAGTTTATTCAACAACAACAAATTGCATATTCAGTAGAAAATAGAATTCATGATATCAGCACTTTGGTAAAAATAATGTCACATAACAATCATGAAAAATATAACCTTTTCCTCAGAAGGTCTGGAGATTACGCGAACCAACAGGGTCACACTAGTCTGGTTGTCTGTTAAGTGTTGAATCCTATTGCTCAAACTAGCCGAAAAATAAGCTATTAAAAACTACTAGTTTAAATTGCAGATATCATTTAGTACTCCTCCTATGGAACCACTTTTATAGATGATATGATGACGCAAAATTGGGCCTGGCAATACGATCGTTATTGGTTGAAGTTTCAGTGGTCCACGGCTTAAGCACATCAGTTCTTATTTTTCAAGAATTCCGTCCTTCTGGACAGTGGTATTATCTTTGATATAAAGTCATTCTAGGGTTTAAGTGAGTAATAATATGGCCTTTTCAAAAGCCATCGCATCGCTACATCGTCTCACTGCGGTCATCCGGGAATTTACTCACCGATCTCAACAACAAAAGATTCGCTCCTCAAATCACTGGAAACCTTTCCAATATCAGCGACATAGGGATCAAAATTGTCTGTCAAAATATCAATTCCTACAGATCAATGGAATTTATTATGCATGCAGTTATTGATGTTCTAGATAGAAAATATTGAAATACTTTTTAATCAATTAAAAATGTGGACACTACTCACGCGGTATTGAATCAGAATGAAATACAGTACAGTGGGAATGATGAGTTATGGATGGAGATCAATATTCATGCAATAATGTAGTGGTCAAAGTCAATGATAAATACATAACAAAGTCTATGGACAGTATTGAAGTCATTGCCAATTCGAACTCAGTCAGAATTTCCTAGAAAATTTCTTCAATTTCAAGACCAGAACCTTCAATTTTGGTCAAACGACTTTCAAATAACTTTACGATATATATGCCAAATCAATTCTCACTAGCTGCACATCAAATTATCTTGTAACAACCATTGATGATTTCAGTTATAGAACATTAATACTTCAGATACACATGGCTTTATCAATCACATCGTAGACCCAATGCTCAACTTAACGAGAATTAAAGTGAATTCTTTCACATTAATCATTAATTGAATTTATTTATTTTTTCCCGATTTTCACCCATTATTTCATCCATTCATTTATAAAAGTGATTCTACTTTGTTCTGTTCTAAAATAAAACATGTTTATTAATGATAAATTTCGTCGATCGGTTGAAGCTAGACATCAACACAGTTGGATACCGGCTAAATGGTTTGCAGGTTAAAAGTTCGCGCGTGAGACCGAAGTTCATGGGTTCGAGTCCCATGTGCGGAATCGTGGAAAGTTCCGTACTAGGACGAAACGACTGCCTGGATTGATCGATTCATGATCTCAATCAATAATTCATCAATCTTCACAAGCTCATACTTGTAAAAATTATTGGAAATGAACTCACAAGAGAAACGGATTCTGTGATTAAATCAATTATCTCTTTACTGAATCGTTATACTGAAATCAAGTATCACTTGTAAGTTAGCTAGAGGAAAATGCATGATAAAATGTTCTAACAGTAAAACGTTTATGTTTATTTATAATTTCAAACAGTGATATTGTTATATTGCATTATTATGTACTCATCAGTGACTAATCTATTGAGATATTTCCCTAAGTTGTAGTGAAATTTAACCACATTTGGTTTGAGGCGGTTACTTGCTGAAGATAATGAAAGATGACTATGCAATATCACGAGTTGGTTGAAATTAGACAAGTTGACCGTTAAATACTAGTAGAATACTCTAAAGATTAAGCGCTCGTAGAGCGACATGAGAGTTCTGAGTTCGATCACCTGTGGCGGTGAGGTCGTGGATATACACTGTTTAAAAGTCTCACATTAGCATCAACCAACTGTTTAATAGTTCCTGGTTTTTCAGCAACACACACAATTACTCATCGAATTAATATGACAACTAATTATTAGCAATACTTCATTATCCAACCATAGTTATTTAAGGATATTGTCTTTTTCTTGATAATAATCCACTGTAATAACACCCTGATTGATAGTTTAATATACACGAAGAATTAGCAGTACTGAAAGAGTATCATTATTTTATTTAATTGATTATTTTATTATAGGAAGACTATATAAAACTTTATTATTGTAATTATCACATCTTTATCTAATCACTGACTTACTTCAATGCATTCTTATAAAGTTTCTCAGTGATATACCAACTGCATAAACTATTTTCAAAACTCAGATAAAATTTGTAGCTCTGACGAATCAATTTAAAACAGTCAAGTAACGAAGGGTCATTTATCAAATTCCTAGAACATACTTTTGTACCACACTTACCATATATATCAACCTGTAAATAAAAAAATTCAAAAGTTATACTAAGATCATTCAATATGTTGTAAACTACAATATCATAAATGATCATTTGATCCAATCAGTTACAAAAAAGCACTTGTTAAAACATTATTTCACAGGACCAAAAAAGTATTATGTAATTCTGATACATCACAAAAGGAACTAATGAATGTGAGTAGATGTTTAAAGAACAACGGGTACCCAGTGAAGCTTGTTGAAAAATATGCTAAACATGAAGATAAAAAACCCAAAGAAACTACAGTAAACAAAGGTGATGATATCACAGGGTCAATCAGTTTGAGACTAAAACCTTCATTGACAAGAATTTATCTTACAGCTAAACTGATTGTCCTGTCCAAAGTAACATTTTCTTTAACACAATCAAAGTTCGATAGGTATCCCTTTCATATTACCACCAACTGTGTATACAAATTTCTATGTATCTGCCAAAGCGGGTACATTGGTAGGACAGAAAGAAGAGCCTACTGCAGATTCAAAGAACATAATCCGAAAAGTCTAAACTCAAATGGATTAAAAGCATTCAATAGTGCCATCTCAAAACGTTTCCTTGATAAAGAACATCAAGTCGATACACTAAAGTCATTCAAGGAGATTAATAAACGACCAAACTCCAATCTTCTGAAATTTACCGCAACGATAGCGATCAAACGTCTAAAACTAGATCCACCTATGCAAAAAGAATTAGTAAAAAGATCTTTCTTTGGCCTGGTAAAATTTCATCCTTTTTTATTGCATCATTCATTATTTCAACTCTTTCTGAAGTTTGGTTACATGAGTGTCATTTTTCCTCAATTCATATCTTTCTTTATTTCCATTAGTCTATTTTCAGTTGCTTCATTATATAATCATCTAATGTTTGTTAACTGTGAGTTCTAATCTCTATTATAATGTTTTGGAACTTTCGCTCTCAAACTTTGTTCATTTATCTGAAACAAACAATTTTTTAATGACCTCATTAACTCTATTGAAATCTTCACTACATCATAATATACTAGTAACTGGCTTCAACAGGTATTTTCTGGAATTCTAGTGAGAAGCAGTGACCAATGAAGTTCAACCGAGTGTGTTGTGAGAAAGTAACTCACTGAAGAAAATGATGGGTGTTTTTCTCGATTTCGTGGATTGTTTGAAGCTAGACATTAACACCGTTGGATGGCAGCCAGCTCAGCAGTCTAAAGGTTAAGCGTTTGCGCGCGAGACCGATAGGTCCTAGGCGTGATCGTGAATGTGCACTGCTGAGGAGTCCCACAATAGAACAAAACGGCTGTCCAGTGCTTTCAGGTTTTCCTTGGTTGTCTAGCTTCAATTGACTCATGAGTTCAATTATTGAATTCATATTATTCTGCACAAATCTTCCTTCTTGCTCTCTCTTTAAGATAATCAACGGTGTTATGTGTATGAAATTAACGTTTTGTAATAGATGAATGATTGATCTACATAAAATAAGAAAACTCTATATTCCCTAGTCTGATTCCAACTAGCTAGTTTACTTTACTTATATTAATTTTCAGTATAGGGGTTGTGGAGATTATTAAGTTTTTGATTAACATCATGAACTGAGTGATGTTACACCACCATTAAAAACGTGGAAGCACTGAACTGCCATTTCGTTCTATTGTGGAACTCCTCAACAATGTGCATCCACGATCCCGCTCGGGAGGTTCGAACACAAGGCTTTCAGTTTCACGCGCGAATGCTTAACCTACTGAACCACTGAGCCGGCATCCAGTGGTGTTAATGTCTAGCCTCAACCAATCCACGAAATTTCGCGACAATCATCCATTTCATTGAAGTAGATACCTGTCTCTACCCGACAACGATTGGCTCCACTGGTCATGGCTTCTCACTAAACCTCCGAGAATTCCCTTACGAACCTAGTCACTAATGAGCACATGATAATTATGAGTATTAATTCATTTTAAATTTTACCTATAATCCTAATACAAACAGAGAATAAAATTGAAAGATTCCCTTTTATAATGATGTTTGTTTTATAAATTAATTCGAAATTGATACGTTAGTTTATTTTAATTGACCAATTCTTTATGTATCTCTTAATGTTAATAAATTATTAAGTGGATATTGTTATGTTTTCTTCTTTTCACGCGTATAAACTATTCACCTTGACCTTGATTTGTTTATATTCTTATTGTTTTTATTGTTAATCACCAAGGTATTCAAATGTGCCCAGTTTAATTTCCTATATAATAGGTCGGAATAATCAATAATAATAAAATATACACATTAAACTTACATTTCAACTATACACCCTACTTGTATGGAACTCTTTATATATTATGATTTTAAATATTCATTCTTTCTTATTGAGTTTATTATTATCATTATTATTATACTGAATTAGTATAAATTCCTTTGATATTATTAGAACGGAGGTTTTATGGAGATTGTAGTAATTTCAACAACTGAATTCATGAGTCAATCTAAGCTAGGTCATCATTGAACGCCTGGAAGTAATAGGACTGGTGAGTAGTGCGCATCCACGATCCCGCACGTGGGACTCGAACCAGAGACCTAAGGCCCCACGCAACAACGCTCAGCCTCTAGACCATTGAACCGGTATTCAAAGGCATTCATGTCTAAGTTCTTTGATGCTAATAAATAGAGAGTCTATTCATGATAACTTTCATTAGTAGAAATGTTCGCTTAATATTTAAACTGTTCATATGTTTAGAAGGTGTTTGGTGGAGGTTTTATAAATTTCACGAGTTGAAATCATCAGTCAATTAAAGCTAGACCACCATGGAAGACATAGAAGCACTGGACGGACGTTTCTTCCTAGTATGAGACTCCTCAGCAGTGCGCATCCACGATTCTAAGTCAATATTTAGTAACTAATATTCAAAAAATTGACTAGTGCATTTTCATGTCGCATGTGTTTGAATGCACTGTGTCTATTTGGTATCCTTTTATCATTTTGAATTCACTTCTCAAATATTCACTGTCTGTGTCAAGAAATCATGATTGTTTACGAAACTAAATGGATCTACGTCTTTCAATTAACAAAGTAAAACGTTCGTGTTATTCGAAGCTAAATTGCATAACACTTACCGAGATATATTTTGAAAGTTCCTCAGCATATTGTAGTCTAGGACTTTTAGCTGCACAGTTGCTCACAAACCATGCTACTTTTTTCGATTTGCCAGCAGCAAAATTTCGAGAAGGCAGAGGATATCTTGTTTTTGGTCCATGATACTTTAAATACGGTTCATAGTAACCGTATGGTGAATAAATCGTTGAATCAAAACGATAGGATATGGTAAAGTTAACCTGAATATCAGTAACAATGTTTAATGAAAGTGCCTAATGCCATACGTATTAAATAATAGTAATAATAATAATAATAATACTGTATTCTGAAAATTAGTACAGATTACACACCGATGTAAAAGAATGATCTACCTGATACAATTCCCTAACACTTTCTAGAAGAAAATGAATTACAAATTATTTCAAAGTGAGGATTTTCTACAACTCTAATGAAGAGTGGAGAATTCTGAGTAAAATGAGTACATTACAATATCAGTATTCGTTTACATTTCATAGCAAAACAGGTATAGCAAGCATAAAGTTTTCGTTACTATACAAACAACTGATAGTAATATATAGATTTACCAATCAGTTGGTGCACTGTAAGTAGATAATGATTATTATTACTAATTCATGATATTATATTTGATTCAATGATTAATTATTAACATTTGGAACCGAATCATTATTAGAAAGTGATTTTGTCGACAAAAACCATTAAAGCAAAGTACAATTCTTATAGACACATAGGGACAAAATGTACAGATTTACACATATCACTTACTACGGTTAGACAACAAGTGAAAATAGGCAGACATTCAACAATTATTTACTCCAAGCATGTAACTCCACAGAAGCATTTATCCGCGACCAGACCAAGGATCAAACCGAGCATCTTCCAGACTCTCAGAGATCATTCATTATTCAAACCACTGAGTTTCATTTCATTGGTTTGCATTTCTAACTTCAGCTAGTCAGACAAATCGCGAGCTCATCATCTGTTGTCACTTGTAACATTTGCTTCGCTCCCAACATGATTTAACTCCAGTCATTCCTACAAGAACCTAACGAATCACGTATTGCAGTTAACTGTAAGAAAATGATGATCATTAATCGTTTTCAAGGCGTCTGACTGAAGTCAGTCTGTGACGTTAAACTGCAAACTTCACAATCTCTACAACTCTTTGGAAATCAATGACAATGTCACCTACAAATTCCGGTGTTGTAGAATTAGTAAAACCTTAAACTCAAGTAAGATTTACGTTAAATTATGTGATTACTTTTAGTCAGGATTATAAACATTGTTCGTTAGAAATGTCATAATTACATTATCAAGTAAACTATGAACACTGAAAATGTGAAATAACACTATGTAGCCAAATCAAAGAAAAAACTATTGTAAGTCTATGTTTATTTTTAAAGTGAGAGTATCTGATAATTCTAAGAATTACATCGATCGCAGTTTATGATTTCGTAAAACAATGCGTTGCGTTTCTGTTAAAACTAGAACAATCGATATGAATGAGATAGTAGATTTGTAGCTCAGGTGAATGATTTGGGTGGAGTTTTGTTCTCTCAGCTGGATGATTTGGTTACGGAGCTTTCATTGTTCTTCTGAACAATATCATCAGCACAAATTTCAGATATAAGTGGAGTGTTCGAATTTCTCTACATATGACTCACAGCTTATCCTATCGAACTCGATCTTGATTGATTCTTATTGACCTTTAACCTGTTACTTTGTACTTTATTGCTTTAGTTGTATCGCCTATTTGTTTGGCCAAACCATCCAGCTCAGAGAATAAAACTCCATCAAAAATGGATGTGAATTCTATATCAGTGATCGTTAACAGCGATAGTACAATGAGAAGAGAAAATTTGAAACTTCGGGAACAATTTAAGAAATAAATAAACACATATATAGCCAAAACTCAAAACACATGAAGTCACAGATTCAGATTATAATCCATTCGATTTGATCTAGTAAACAAGGTAGTAGGATCCACGCTGAAAAAGTGAAGTAAAATGACAAAGATACGAATTCGTACTTGTTTGTAGTTGTTTAAATTTGTAACTGGTTGGAATTTAACTGATATTCACCCGGTGTTTAAAATGACAGTATTCCTCTACATTCATTGCTACTTGTTATACGAATTCATTCAGAAACTGTTCATTCGGATAAAGTATCTATCAACAGACATATCAAAATCGAATCAGTCTATCAATCAGCACGGAGAGGGATAGATAACTATAAGGTTAATGAACAGATCAGACGTGAAAACAACAAATACATACCTATGGACAACAGTCAATTGAATTCAACAGAACTAGCAGGTAGTTAATGATGAATAAATATTAAGTAGTCACATACCTTAAAGTATGTTTTGATGATATAGTCCAGAAAAACAATGAGATATTTTAAGGATTAAACCATTCATCATGAAGAATGAGATCACTTCAAAAGTCTTCGGAGCCTTACCAATCTAATGTATTGACAGAACACATTTAAGTTGTTATGATTTTATGTCCGGCTTTTTATCACGTGACCTATCCACCTATCAAAATACGACTTATACAATCTTCGCACTATGTTAAACCAATGACGTTCGACCGGTATGAGCAGTCTAACGTCCTTATTGGTCCTACGTCCGTCTAGCCCGTCCGCTTCACTCCAAAACACAACACCAGCTTCTCCAATGTGAATCATTTATTCCACACATACTCGGTTTATATATCAACCAGACAAACTACAACGTACCATAAAATAGAAAATAACATGTGTACACAATAGAGCCAAAACGTGGCTGTGAATGAGACAGATAGTAATTAATAGACAGGCCATAACTCAAGAATGATAAATCGTATAGTAATAGTCTATGGGTCAAATTAAAGTTTATAACAAGAATATATACCCTGAAGAAGTCCAGACAAGTTAGCTGGACGAAACGTTGGAATTAGTTAAATTTCAATCGCTGAGAATATTTCGAATATAATTTTCATAAATAGACATAATCTAATTATTGAATAATTATATAATAAGAATATTTATGGAATGTTAGCCTATTAATTGTCCTCTGAAGTTACCCGTAATTCAATCTTCACTGGGATATAACGTAAGTAGTGTTGATTAGAAATTATTTTGCTGATATTCTATATATTCGCCTGATGCATTAATGATTATGACTGAAGTCAACATGAATTAGTGACTCTTTCAGTTATACTCTTAGTAATTGTCTAATTAAATTCAAGCAATAATCATATTAACATGTTGATATTTTTGACTTGAAGACATTTCATTCAGTAATTGAAACTAATTAGATAACTCAAAGTAAGAAGAGTTAATTCATTTGAATTTGCCTAATGGTACTTAACCATGGTGCCTAATAAGGGATGGGATGCATTGGTATGAGTGAACACCATTATATCTTGTTCACACTGATAACTTTCACAGCAATATATAGTAGATCTTAATTTCCTGAATAGATCTGTTGTCAATTTTATATTTCTTTATCAGATTATTGAAACATTCATCGTAAATCAATGGAATAATATGAACCATCATAGAATGTATACAAGTCAATAGATAAATGTGTATACAAAAAGAATATTGGATGATCAATGAAAGAGTTTTCAATAGAGCTTTTCCTATTTCTATAAACAAATTCAACTAATACAAACTGCTGTTGACGTTTTCCACTATTAGTTTAATTTGTAATAATGAAGTGTTATTAAACTATTTTAAGAATCATTATCTATAAACTGAATCACTGTACTATGATTACGTTTTAGTTATTCTATAATATAAGTTGTACAATATGTCTCACTTCATTTTCTAGTGTGTTTGCCAATGATATATGTTTAGGAGATTCATGTGTTAGACTAAACCATAATTGTCCATTTGGTCGAATTCCATTTGGTTGTTCATCTTTTGTTAAAATAAGTGCATCAGCTTCACGCCATCTTTCCATTCCGGTGATAAGTGTACATTTTGAAGCATAACATTTAGAAAATTTCTTTGGTATATAAATTTTCTGAGATCCATAGATGAGAAATGTTTTCACCTAATATGCAAGAAAAACAGTAGTATGTGGTTCATGTCTATATTGTCACATGTATTCAATGTTTCAAAAGATGGTGTAAATGAACATCCTAATACTGATGTATACATAATATAGCTTCATCAATCAATTATATTACTGAAGTACATCTATCTCAGTCGTAGTTCAGTCACTAAGACTGTATTCAGACGAATTCAGTTTAAATTTGCTGCCTAAATATTTCTTTATATATTACAGAGATGTTGGTTGGATTTTATACCTTACTAAAATATTCCTATTACAATGTAAATGTAGCTGATTTTTCTACTGTTTCAACTAATATCTTCCAATGAAATTTACTTTGAAATATATATTACATTTTATGATTGTGAATACAATCATCTTGAGTACTGTTAGAGGTATGAAGGTAGTTTTCACTTCCCGGTTGCCCACACCGTGGACGAGTTCTTTTAGAGGTACCTGAAGAAGAAATGGGGTTGGACAAGGTCTAAGTGACCTGAGAGCATAACCACAGTGACCAATGGACAATTGCTTGAGGTCGGTCACACACAACCTTTTTGTGAGCAATTTTCGTGTTAGCTCAGGACTTGTTGCGATCTTACCGCCGGAGACGGATATCCGTATGGTAAAGCAAGGTGTGTATATTTAGGGTCGACCTCTTTTAACCCTACCCTTCCAAGTGAGAAGGCAGCATCGCTGTTATCCTGGTTGTCTGAAGGAAACAATTCACCGCCATCACATCTCTGTACAAACAACAGTACGAATTCGCACTCATACTTTGAGTTTGCTGCTTTTAGTCTTAGCGTTCTTCAACCGATCTCTCTGGCATCGTAAGGCCTCCAGAAACGATTGTTCCAACCAGTATAGCTAGGTTGGTTCATCAAGATAAGCAAGCTTGACCACCATATCAAGGTAGCAACAACGTTGTAACTGACTGATAATTACGTATTTTTCCCCAAATTATGTTAAGATATCTTGAATTGTGACGTTGAACAATTGGAATAGAAATAGTTACTTATTGATTATTCTAGATGGAGTGGTACAATCAAGAGGTGAAACCGCTGTTAATCAACTTGAAGGTTTCATTAGTTCGGGAGGTAGTCTCAGTTTGCATAGAAGAGGGAGATCGCTGTAAAATACTCCAAAATGGAGTTACATAGTAAACCTATAAAGACCATTATCATTTAATCTCATTGTTTTTTAATAAACATTAATGAATCATTACGATCATCAGCATCCCATATAACATCATAAGAAATTTGACCAGAAACTGATTCATTTGAAGCATTTGTGCCATAATGATTTTCGATTTCACTTGATGTGGCTAGATACTTAGAATGTGTGGAACCTCATAAAAAAGAACATTTGAACATTGGGTGGAGTTTATCTTATTGCTGCAGTAAATGTATCAGTTATCTCGTTAAATAGATCTATAATTTTTGAGTTCGATTCCGGATTTAATTGTTTGAGCATGTATTCCTTCAATATATTGATAAGCGTTAAACGGGATTTAATAACCACATCTTCATCAAATTGAAGCATTGATTTTAATTCTTACATTTTGTAACTGCAGCATTTGTTGTAAACATGATTTAATAAAGAGAGAAAGTTTATTTATAACCAAAAACAGAATTTGAGGGCAAATAGAGTTGACTGAGTTATAACTGGAACTAGATAGTTCAATTGTTATGGCTGTTTGTTATCCGAAATCACCGTCACCACTTGTCATATCCGCATCAGTTATTACTTATACTCAAAAGAAGGAACCACTACAATTTCCACGAGGCAAAAGTAAGAACATGGAAGGCTGATACAAGCAAAGTATTACTAACTCTAAAACACGACGACAACCCTAATAGAAAATGAACTCATTTATATATTGATTTGTATAGATATTTGATCATAAGTTAGTAAAAAAATGTCACATATATGTTATTATAACAAAGTCGCACATTGCATGTCGTGCTGAAAATAGGTTACGTCAATTTAATGCAAGAATATCGTATCTTGAATAAACTTCATACTGAAGTCTATATTTTATTTATTTGAACATAAATATTGGTACAAAGGGGCGACGAATACATATGCACCACACGAGTCACTTGATTTGTGTGTGGGTTATGATACTTCCTGGGTGCCCAAACCGAGGCAGGTGTTTTGCTTAGGGAGCCGCACTCGGAGCCTCCAACCCTAAGGCCTGGTCCACAAGTAAGTGGAACAACTTTAGGAGATGCAGTCCCATAGTTCTAACTGAAAACTATTTCGTTTATTCATATAGATGTGCGTATATATTTAAATATATCATCTGCTTCAAAAGTAAATCATTAACTTATTATAAGCAAAGATGGATGGTGGCTAGCAGTGGAATCCAGGACGCGCGTTTCGTCCTATTCGGGACTCGTCAGCTGGATGTACCTACATCTGAGATTATGTTCACTCTGGGACTCTAACCAAGTACCGTCCGTGCGTCAAACTGGGTTCCATTATTAGCTACTATCCATCTTTGCTTATAATGCTTGTAAATTAATGCAATATCGAGGCAGTACACACAGTGTACATATGCCAATAAGAGACTGATCCATTTCAGTCCGAAATATCAATGGGAAGATTCAAGTAAAACAATACCAAGTGAATTAAATCCCTAACTGTTGATTGTCAACTAACGCGTCCAGTTGCAAAATTAAATTAACTTAGGTTCCAGAAATTACTAATTCTCGTCATAATAGAAATTAAACTCTTTGATTATCCATTACACTAAGTAGATGAACAAGTGGAATTCAGTAAACTGATTTGATGACAATTCGATTGTTATTAGTATAAGGTTGTGGAGATTGCTAAGTATTAATTAAGATCATAAAACTGACAGAGTTAGACGACCACCAGAAACGTGGTGGTATTGGACGGCAGTTCAGTTCTAGTGTGAGACTCCTCAACAGTACGTATTTACGGTCCGGCGTGTGGACGCTTAAACTGTAGACCACTGAACCGGTATCTAACAATGTTAATGTCTAACTTCAACCGATCCACGATCGCCTCATGATTTAAATTAAAACTTAACAATCTACACAACCCTATACTGATAATCATTATGTGCTCACTAATGGCTCGCGTCGGGAGGTAATTCTCATAGTTCTAGTCAGAAGCTGTGATCAGTGGAGCTAATCCGTGTCGAGTGTGATGCAGTTACCAGCCGAAGACAATAAGAGATGATTGCGCAATACAGTGGATCGACCGAAGTTGGACAATAACACCGTTGGATACCGGCTCAGTGGTTTATAGGTAAAACGTTCGTGCGGTGGTCGTCTAACACTGATCTCGATTTGACTGTTACGAAATACTGTATGATAATTGATTATTACTACATTATATAGACGATTTCCCTCATAAATACAAATATTTTAAAATTTATTAAGTAAATAATGAGAAAGGTGAATACGAGAATTCATCACATTGCATTTACTGTGACTTTCACTATATATATATCTGTCGATGAGTGGGCTAGGAAAATAATGATTGGTTGTGTGCCTAGTCTGATAGGTATTAGGTGTGTTATATAATTTCCTAACCTCATTATTACTGTCATTCTTGTCGGTTGTTTGCGTGGAAATATAATTACGTTCTTGTCAGACTACCACTTGTTATTGATCCGAGTTGTGTTGAAATCCTATTGTATAGCCACTGGGAAGGTTAATAGTGTAGATATTCGTCTAAGACAAATTAGCATTCCATTTGTGTAAGGGAGAAGACCGAGCGTTATTTCACATATATGATTTACTGACTCTTGTATAACGGTTCATTTTGATTCTACTGACAATTCATTGGATACCATTGTAGTATAAATTTGTTAAACATTAACAATTTCGAGACCAAAAAATGAACCACTGTCCTTTTACAAACTTGTTGTTACTATAATCAACAGCATTTAATCATAAACTGTCATTGATATAGTTGAATAAATGCATAACTTCTTTAAAATATCTCACGGAGTGGTCTGTTTAATATAGGGATATTACTTAATGTACTTGACTCATCACAATACTGTAGTTTCATGATTTCAAACAGCTTCTAAATACTTAGGTCATGTGATTATACCATTTCCTATATTGATTATATCCATTCCGTGTTCCGTGTATTCTGTTGTTGGTTTTTTAATGATAGATCATTTATTGCGAAAACAATCACACTAGGATTATAAGAAAAAAGATGGATAGTGGCTAGCAGTGGAATCCAGGACGCTCGTTTCGTCCTATCTTTGCTTATTCTGCTTGTAAATGAATGCAATATCAAGGCAATAAGCACGGTATGCACATACACCAATAAGAGACTGATAAATTTCAGTCGTAAACATCAATGGGAAGATTCAAGTAAAACAATACCAAGTGGATCACACTAGTTTCGATAAGTCACATTGTAAAGTGTGCCACATATATTGACATAAGTAGTATATTACGCGAGTCAGGAATAGAATGTCTGACAACAAAAGTTTAAGAAAATTGAGGAGGAAAGAACAGAAACAGAAAGCAATTGGTATGGCAATACAGGGACAATGAAGTCTGAGACAATTAATGAACATTATGTAAATTAAGTATTAAAGTATGATTTTTCTATTTCATTAAGTAACTCTGTATTCTCGTGCCAAGTATGATTCGATTGTCCTTACCTGTCTTCTCCTTCATTACAATATATTTAGTATATATGTAACATGTCATTAGACTACTTGTATGTACTTAAATTGTTAGTACCATGTTTCTGAGTAAACATTATATTAGGAATTCATAAAATACAATAATTTACAATATTACGTTTATCATTACGTTTATCGTTTAAAACAAAGAAATAGGGCATTTCAATGAACATCATCCAATGTTATGCGCATACCAACGACTACAATGAAGACGCTAAAGATCAATTCTACAATAGGCTTCAGTGAATCATAGAGAAATGCCCAACAAACGACCTGACCATTCTGATGGGAGATTTCAACGCCAAGGTTGGAACGGACA